AGGCCATGAATGTACTTCATCAGAAGTCAGAAGTAATGTTTCCTTCCAAGTTACATCCTGTTTACAATGTTTTAAGTTGGATTTAGTATTAAAACAGCTTGCATGTTAATTTAAACTTCGTTAAGTCACTTTGGGCAGAAAGGTGAGTTATAAATAATGTGTAAATGGACACAAACATTTTAATGTTACATCATATATTGTAAATATGTTCTATACAATGTTACATTTATTTTAACCTTTGTTATTGTTCCTAATGCATGGTGACAGCATAGTGCACTCCAGGTGTTTCTGACTGGCCTTGCTGAATAAACCTGATTAGAGATGTAGCTCAAGACATCTAAAAAGGTCTGAGAGAGTGAGTGTACGCATATCTGCTTTAAAGTTAAACTGATGACATATAAAGCTGCTTAAATAAAGTGAGATCAACTTATCCATTCTTAGAAATGCTTGGAAATACGCGGGGGGGGCGCATGCACGGTGGGCACTTGCATTGCATTTTGGGGGTCCTTGCATGTGCATTTGCGTGGGCACTTGGCACCAAAAAGGTTAACCATCACTGGTATATAAGTATAGGAACTAAACCGCACGCTTACTAACACTGATGATGCAATTTAGTAGGGTAAATGAAGGTCTGCAAGCAAACAAATCCAGAGACATCAAGTATTTTTCTCTGACAATTTTAAATGACCAAGAACTTAGTATAGTTGGCAGTATAGCAAGTTTAATAACATAACTCTAACATAGCAGGAAATGTCACATCTGAAAGCAAACAATCAAGCTGAGAGAGCACTGAGAGCTGAGAGTACTCTAAGTAATCTCTCACTACTGAACTTATCCAGCCTTTAGGTGAGGGGTGTCAAACTGGCAGCCCACAGGCCGGATGCATCACATGCAGGCCATGCCCACTCCACCTTCGTGAATGGGAAAAATGTCTGATGATAGCAACGTGATGCCGCAAGTTTGACACCCGTGCTTTAGGTTGACCAGAACTCCTTAATTATCAACTGAAACCTATTCAGTCAATTAATGGAAATGTAATAATGAACTTTGGGGGTCTGGATGCAGTTTTTTTTAAAAAAAGCTAGAAATTGCAATAGTTCTTGCACCAATTAATAGTTCTTGCACCAATTCAATTCTAAGAGATACAGCACTCTGTTAATATTTTAATTTATCTTCCACCTTTCTTTTGGTCAGATGAGGCATTTTTTAATGTCAAAATCTGCATTATGTTGGGCCTTGTTAACCAGTTTTAGAATAAGAGTTTGTATATGGCAATCTTTTCTCTAGTAGTGTTAATTGCTACAGAATTAATACACATGAGTATTGCCTATTGGTGATGAAAACTGATCTGAAATTTAAGAATGAATTTTTTAAGCATTAAAAATATGGATTTTATTAGCTCTTTCAAGATGTATGGCACACAAGCACATTTATGTATACATATATGTTTCTTAGAAAAAGATGGAACTATATATTAATAACAGAATATGGAATTTAAACATTCCAACTGAATAAACCTGGAATAAACAAACGGCACTAGAAAACAAAATGTGAATTTAGTGTTGATCATTCAGCCGTAGATTTGAAGTATTTATATCATGCAAAACAATGGCTTCCTATGTTAAAAATCACAAGTTCTCACCATTTTTAATTGATAGGGATATTATTTTTAGCATGTATTCAATCTACAGATCTCGGTCTCCTTACTGTAGCTCATCTTCCATCCTCTACATAAAACCTACCATAAACTTGTTGTGACCATTAGTAGGACATCAAATGAAAGGTACTTAGAAGTTTAATCATGTCAGGTTTCTTCAAAGCTCACAAGGCTCACAAGCTATTTTGAATTACGCAGGCCTTGATTTTTCCATTATTCCCAGTGTATTTGTTTAATGTACTGCTATATTCAAGCAACAACACAATTTGTTACAGCTCAAGTAAATTGTTGCTCACTCAAAACAGTGGAAGTGTGACAAAAGTACTTCCTGCAACAAGGTAGTTCTTATGCCTGACATTAGTACCACAAGATTGCATTGCTCACAACTTACACCACCTTAAAACACTAATGACTAGATTGTGGCATAAGCTTTTGCTGAAACAGACCAACAAGAACTGTTCCTCAGGGAATGTATTAATTAACTCCAACTTAGCAGCTTTGTTTGAGAGTTTCCCTTTGAAACTTCTTGTTGTTGTTGCAATATGGCAACTTTATGGGCTACAACAGAATGTCTTGGGAAACAGGAGACTGAAGTGTGTTACCACTTTGGGGCTAGAATTCTGTACTGATTTATATAGGAGTAAGGCATACACACTGCCAGATTTCTGTCCACTGATTGCATGTGGTAGACTCTGAAGTTTTGCTTGTAACAGTATGGTTAAAAGAAAAAAGAAAAACCCACAAACTCTCATTCATTATGGGAGTAAGACAAGAGACTAAACTTTGCTTAATTGACTGGATATCTTTTGTTGAACTGAAACATTTTTCAATAACACATTAGGGAAGTATATTTTGTCATTTTCCTAAGAACTCTCATTCCCCCTTTTAAAATGTTATTCCTATCTGTATTGTGACATTGGAAGAGATTAATTCTGGAAATGTGGAATTAACTCTCATATAGAATAAGTTCAGCTAAGAAATATGAATATGAATTCCAGCTTTTTAAAAGCAGAGCTTGAATTCCAGGGTTTATATAATAAACCCACCCACTTATTTTAATGACTCTCCTCCCAATGTTTAATCTGCATCAAACATTGTGTGTCAGAATGGCAAAAAAAAAAAAAGAGAGAGGGGGGGGGAATTGTGAAACCTCAAGCAAATTTTGAAATTCAAGTAGGCAGTACAATAAATAACCTGTGATTCAACTAAAATTTGCAGTGCCAAATGCTAGGTTTCCAATCTTCCTCCAGCTCTTTGTTGGAAAAACAGTCACCGTCATATGGGAAGAGATGGGTGGAATTAATTTCGGGGGGGGGGAGCCTGGTATTCTCAATTTTAGCTGTAATCTAAAACAGTTTTGTTTGTTTTTTTAAATGGTAAAGAAAAACTGACCACTTATAATACGGCCCCCAGCTTGCCCCAAATTGCCAACCTGTGATTAGTGGAACGGACAGCCAATCAGGGACCATCCTGGTCTCCACAGCGAAAAGTAAAAGAGGAGGAGGAGGAGGAGGAAGAAGCGCAACGGCCAAGGGCTCCTACGTACTCGGAGAGTCCGATTCGCTCCTCCTAGCCCCTCTCATTTTCTCTTGGTTGCGGTTATGATTATCGTTACTGTTACGTCTGCTATTATATACCTTTCCTATGCTTTTTAAAATATATATATAATGTGGTTAAAAAAACCCGGAGACAATTCGGGCAAGTTTCGAGCGATTTTTAAAGTGGGAAATTCCTCTCAAGGCAAACTTACCCGAGAAAGGTTTTTTTTTGATGAACAATGGCTGAGGGAACACGCAGCCTGGTGGGCTCTGGACTTCCAGACCGAGGGTTGTGAGTGTGTTTGTGTGTGTTTTTAATCGAATCCAATGGGCCACCTCCGTGTTTTATCCAAGCTCGGTTTTTCTCAAACCTTTATTACTGTTTTAAAGGTGCGTGTGTGAACTCCCCAAGCCCCCCCTTCCCCCCCCCCACAAACCAATCCCGAAGCATTTTTTCCCCCCCTCATTCTAGCAAGACGTTAATTTATTCCTACAAAAAAATCCAGGTAATTACTTGTGACAAGCTTATTATCACAGAAGAGAGCTGGGCGTGAGGGGAAAAGTATTCAAAACACCGAAGGAACATAAGCCTAAAGGAAAGAAGGGAGAGGGCCACGGGGGGAAAGAGAAGAGGGGAAAAAATCGAGTTCTGACTGGATGCTGGTTTGTTATCGTGTTTTTCTCGGAGCGTCTCTTTCTCTCTCTCTCTCTCCCCCCCCCCCTTCCTTTACCCCGCATGCCTGCGCGCAAATAAAATATTTATTTACCGAGGAAGCCAAGCGTCAACTTCAAGGCAAGTCAGTCATTCAGGCACTTCAGATGACGCTTCTTTCAAAAGCAAAAGAGAGAGAATCAGAGTTGGGGTGTTTGCGGATGGCGGTGGGGGAAGAGGCGCCGTGGCGCAGTCGCTCGTTTTCTGCGGCTGGTCGGCGATTCCTTCGGGCGGGCAGGCAGGGCGCGTGGAGAAGCGGGCCTGGGGAAGAGCCCGAGCTCCCGCTTGGACCAGGAACGGGGCAGCTCTTGGGTCAGAATGCGCGGGAAACAGGGCCGGTCAATCTTCCGGCCGTTCCCTCAGGGGAAACTCTGGGACAAGGCGGCCTGTCCAAGCGCTTCACCTTAAGGAGGAGGTGGGGCCTCTCCTCTCCCTCTGACGAAGCGCCTCCGAACGCCGCGGGGGCTTTGGAGCTGCCTCCGAGGCGAAGGAAAACGCGACGCTAGGAAGCCCAGAGAGGGGTGGCTCTGTTTCGGGGCTCCTGAAAGCCCCGAGTCGCGTAGCCAGAAAGGAGGCTGGCGCGAAAGGAGAGGGGCGGGACGCCAGTACCCCAAATTCTCTCTCTCAAGACTTCTTACACTGTAGCCACAGAGGATAGTGGAGGGCTGCGTAGGATCTCTCTTTATTCGTCACACACACACAAATAATTCTAAAAAGTATTATATATATCTATATATATCTATATTACTGTATATATCTGTGCGTATATATATATATATATATATATATATACATACAGTAAAAAGTATATGTATATATATTCATTTGCCTCGATCGTCGCGCGACCGGGAGCCAGGTGATTATCCTAATTAACGTCTATCTAATTAAATTACTGTCAGCGGTTAACCAATGGCAGGAGCCGTTTCATGCGTTCGGCAACCAGGGAGATCAAAAGTGCGGCTTGGCTGATTGCTGCACGGTGTCAATTGGCCAATCTCTTCTCCCAGGGAGCGGTGCTTTTGGTGGTGGCGAGGGGGGGGGGAGGGAACCGTGGCTTCAGATCGGGACCAGCCTTGGGTGGTGGGAGAAGCTGCTTTGGGTCCCTCGCCGCCGAGGGTCCCGGGATGATGAGCTGGGGGCCTTAAGCGATTCCCGTCCCCCGCCCCCAAGCGACCCCGTGCTACCGTTACGCTACCCCGGGCAGGCTTTGGCCAAAAAGCGGGCCGGGTCTGGAGCCATGCAGCTGGAGCATTGTCTGTCGCCTCCGTCGATGATGCTCTCCAAGAAATTTCTCCATGTGAGCGCTGGCGGCGGCGGTGGCGGCGGCGGCGCTTACCCGCCTGCCGCGGGCGGATCCGAGCTTGTCTTGCACGAGCACCTCCACCCGCACCCCCATCACCATCCGGCTGCCGCCGCCGCCGCCGCCCTCCTTTCGGCGAGCGCTGACAACCTGGAGAGAAGTTCACCTCTGAAAAAACTCGCCAGGGGGGGGGATGACGAATCAGGCCGAGGCAGACAATTTCCCTGACTCCAAAGACCCGCCAGGGGACGCCCAGCAGCCGCCGCCGCCGCCGCCGCCGCCGCCTCAGCAGCAGCAGCAGCAGCAGCAGCAACAGCAGCGCGCCAAACTCTCGCCTGTCGTCTTGGACGGCGGCGGCGGCCAGGAGCAGCTCCGTCCAACCTTCGATGGAGCGGCGGCGGCTGCGGCAGCGGCAGCAGCAGCAGCGGCGGCGGCGGCCGCAGCCGCGGCGGATCGATACCTGCTCTCCACGCCAGCTTCCTCCGGCCAGCCCCCGGCCGCTGCCTCGGCTCCCCCGGCCACCGCCGCTACCATGTTCCCCTACCCGGGTCAGCACAACCACGCGGCCGCCTTCTCGCTCGCCAGCCCCAGCCGCTACATGGCGCACCACCCGGTCATCGCCAACGGAGCATACAACAGCCTGCTCTCCAACTCCGCGGCGCCTCAAGGCTACCCGGCTGCCGGCTACCCTTACCCGCAGCAGTACGGTCATTCCTACCAAGGCTCGCCCTTCTATCAGTTCCCCTCTGCCCAGGCTGGCCTCGTCCCCGGCAAGGCGCAAGTCTACCTATGCAACAGGCCGCTCTGGCTGAAGTTCCACCGGCACCAGACCGAGATGATCATTACCAAGCAAGGCAGGTAAGCGGCGGCTGCGGTCGAAGGATGCCAGCCAGGCGCAACGCCGCCGAGAAGAAAGCGGAGGAGGACGAGGGAGGCTGAGGGACCGGGAAAGGGCGAGCAAGAGCACCTCCGAACCCGAGCCCGGGTGCCTGGCCGCGGGAAAAGTCGGCTTTCCTGCCGAGACTCCGGGCTCTGCTCAAAGTATTATTATTATTTTTTGCCATTTTTTCCTCTCTTCTTGTCCCGCACCTCTTGTGTTATCATCTTCATCTGCATCTTCATCAACTCTTAATATTATTGCTATTGTCGTCATTATTCTTTCTCCTTCTCCTTTGGCTGTAGACCTCTCGGGTTCTTTTTCTTTCCTTTTTCTTTCCTTTTCCCATATCCTTTCATTTTGCTTCAGGTTTTTAAGATTAAAAATAATGGCAATCTCGTTTTTGGGGCTGGAATAATCCAGTTCTTAGTTTTATATATATATATATAAATACATATTTGGGCCTATAAGCCCCCCCCCCATTTATTTACGATATTTTCCTTCCTCGCTCTGACTTATTTAAGAGTCATAAACAATACGAAGAATGATTGCTTCCCTCTTGGGAACGGGCGCCGGGGTCTCCGGTGTACCTTGGGCCATTTCTGCCGCACTTTCTGGCGATCAAGGGCTTCGCCTCGCTTCCTTTGCTGATCCCCGAATGATGGGGAAGTCCATCACTTCTCGGTTGGTTTTTGCACATTGAAATTTGACAGTCCATCAGTTGAAGGCAAAAGGCAATGAAATCGCTGGGACTTACTTCCGGGCAAATTACAGTAGAAACCCGCGAGGATCTTTTTGGGTTACAAGCCGATGTGCCAACCCGCCAGCCCGGTTTCCTCGGAAATAACCCTCGATTTCAGCCGGATTCACTTGGAGATGAGTACGCAGAGGACCTTTTCCTCCTAGGCTCGATCCGCTAGACAAAAAGGAGCGGAGCGAGATGCCTAAAATCGGTGCACCCTTCGGGTACTTTCCTCTGCAACATTAGCTGAAGAAAAGGTTTTTGAGAATTTTAGGGGGACAGTTATGTATTTATAAAATTATGATCTCCCTCCTTTTCAATCCCGTCACTTTTCCTCACCCTCCTTTCCCCGCCTTCTTTCTTAAAACAGGCGAATGTTCCCTTTCTTAAGTTTTAATATTTCGGGTCTGGATCCCACGGCTCACTACAATATTTTTGTGGATGTCATCCTGGCCGACCCAAACCACTGGCGGTTCCAAGGCGGCAAATGGGTACCTTGTGGCAAAGCGGACACCAACGTGCAAGGCAAGTCCTTCCTCGGGTCCTCTTTTCCCTGGTACGTGGGTGCGCACAAAGACTTGCATCCTAGGCTCGGGTGGCTTAGGTGAGAAGACTTCATTAGTGGACCTTCTTGGGCCGGTAAGGCTACACAAAACTTAGGGGGAGGCTAAAACTGAAGGTCTTCCCCTGGCTCCCCCCCCCATTCCCGCTTTCTTTGCTTTGGTTTCCCGAGTTGAAATACCTAAAAGCATACCATATAATAGTAAATTAAAACGAAGGAGCAGTTTTGTCTTTTCGAAACTGGGATATCTGGGGAAATTGTAGGAATCATATAAGAAAGGTTAGAGTGGGGAGAAGGAAAAGAAGGAAGGGAAGATTCACTGTGTGAATGTCTTTCTCTCCAACATTTGTTTGCTCTTTGACAAACCCGGAGTTCTCATCTTCAGGAAACCGTGTCTACATGCACCCGGACTCGCCCAACACAGGAGCCCATTGGATGCGCCAAGAAATCTCCTTCGGGAAACTGAAATTGACCAACAATAAAGGGGCGTCCAACAACAATGGGCAGGTCAGTTTTGGGACTCGAGAGAGGCGGCACTGCGCCCTGCATGGCCAAGAGATTGCACGCGCGGGCATCCCATCCTGCGCTCCACATTCATTTCATTTGCGTATGAGCTTTTTCTGCAAATCCATCCCCTATTGTACAAACCTGGAGGGGGAAAAAGAGGCCAATTCAATAGACAGGTTAAGCGAGGGAGATGCGCTTGCACCAGAGTGTGAACAGGAGACCGTCTTCTCCCAGGCGAAAGCTTCGGAATCGAGGCGGTGGAAAGCTGCTAAAGCGGCCTCGGCTTTTTTTTTTTCTCCCCAGGCATTGCGTTTCAGTTAAAGAGAGGAAAAAATAAGAGAGGCGCGGAGAGAGGAGTCCGGATCAGAGGAATAGCCTGGCGTGTCCGGGCTCTTTCCTTTTTCCCTCCCGTTCTTAATTTCAGCTTTCTAGTAACTTGCGGGGAGTGGGGTGGAAGCGAGGTGCAGATCCGCGCTTTTGGAACAGGTGGCGAAATCCGGCGAGCGATCCTCCTTAGAACCGCGAAACTGGGGAGGGATTGAGAAGTTTGGAGAAGGCAAAATTGGTGTGGCGGTTGGGCTTCTCGGGAGATCTGGGAGACGATCTGGAATATAAAGTTGGTCCCCTTCTCCCATGCAAAGTAAAAAAAAAAACCAGCCCCCGACTTTTCTCCTCGCTCCCCCTTACTCTTTTTCTCCGTCTGCAGATGGTGGTCCTGCAGTCCCTCCACAAATATCAGCCTCGCCTGCACGTGGTGGAGGTGAACGAAGACGGCACTGAAGACACCAGCCAGCCGGGTCGGGTTCAGACCTTCACTTTCCCTGAGACGCAGTTCATCGCCGTCACTGCCTATCAGAACACCGATGTAAAGTGCTTTTCTCACTCGCTCGGTTCTGGGCCTTTTCGGGATTTGGGGGCGGGGGGGGCACAAGTGCAGCTATGGAGGCCGGGAGGGTGGAGGCGAATCATGATTTCAGACCACAAAGTGATGGCGGTGGATTAATTGTCTAAACTGCTTGCGAAATCATTCAAGCCTGCTTTCGAGTCCCGATTCTTCCCACCCCAATTGTAAAAAAAAAAAAAAAAAAAAAAGGTGGGTGGGTGGGTTGGGGAAGGAGCCTCTCAGTTTCTCCTAGAGCATTAAATATTTCAGATCGCTTTAAGCTGGGCGTTTTAACCAGCTTTGAAAGCATGAACCTCTCTATAGACTGGTTTTCGCCCTTCATCGTCCTCCACGAGCAAAGTTACCTCTCCTTTTCCCGGTCAGATTTGTTTGGAACTGTTTACTTTTGCGGCCTAAGGTAAAGCCGGCCCTAGGGTGAAGCCACGGTCTCAAGAGCAGGTTTGGCGCGCCTTTGAAGGGCAGCAGATTGGTCGTTGTTTAATGCATGACTACAGCTTTTGAGTATCGCAGAAGGCGAGAGGAATGCCAAAATAACTTGGCTGGATCCAGGATATTTGAGCCTTGATTTGTGGAGGGCACCTTTTGCCTCTCTATTGTAGGCCCTGAAAATGCCACATGCATCCGCAAAAGAAATAAATAATAATAATTTAAAAAAAAACCCAAGGGCTCGGGCCTCAGTTAAATTAATTTCCAGGAAACGGGTATAGCAGCCCATACTAACAAATTCTATCTAAAGTCTGACTTTAATCACCACCTTCTTTGTGTTAGACTCTAAATCGCCAACGAGCCAACTACAGGTTTGGGGACTCTATTATGTGTTTTTACTAGACATAGGAAAGATTAGTTTTAGTTCACCAGGACTTTGCTTCATTTGAACCATATAATTAGCCAAGGGATGGATGTGTTTATTCGACCTACTGAATAGCAAACTAGTCAACCACATTTCAGTTTAGTATTAGGGAGGGGAGGGGGAACCTGTAGTTCATTTGTAGTTTAGCCTGTATCGAAACTAGGAAAAAGAGCATTACATTAAATTAACCATGGCAAGTATATGCTACTATATTGCTGTCATTGTCAAAAAAAAAACAAAACCCTGAGATTCAGAGAACCTTCCATTTCACTGCAAATGATCCAGAGCTGTTGGTCCAGATTTAGTTTCTACAATGTTCCCTGGGCTAAACGTTTTATTCGACTGGCTAGTAAAAGTCTTGTGACACATTCCAAGCATGTGTCTAGATGCTAATCCTCTCGCATAGCTATCCTCGGCGGAATTGTTCCGAAGTGAGTCTTATTAGTCTTATCTAATTAGGAGGAATTTAATTCTAGATAAGAAGCGTAAAGGTACCTAAACCGGACCTTGACTTTGTGGTCCTTCCAAGGAGGTTGTCAGAACTACCTTGAGGCAGAACAAAAAGCCAACTGGAAGACAAAGTTTCTCTGCTCCCAGATCCCCGTTGATCCTTCAGAATGACTAACATCGCAGGGAAGATTGTGTGGTGCACGTGCTGGGGAAGAGGCCACTTAGCCCTCATTTATTTCCAGACCTTTTCTCTTCATGAGAGAAATTCTCACAAGGAAATGACCAGCGTTGTTCTCTTAAAAAGAATTAATCCACTCTGGGGAAAAAAAAAAAAAGCTAGGCATCTGCTTATCTTACACAGAGAATCAGTAGAGGAGAGACCACTGTTTGACTCTTTCTCCCTCCTCCCCTCTCCTCTGTAGATCACACAGCTGAAGATCGATCACAACCCCTTCGCAAAAGGCTTCCGAGACAACTACGACACGTAAGTTCCTTGTCTTGAGCCATTCATTGGCCCTGGCACGTCCAGCCCTATTAAATGGATGTCGGGTGGGTTGGTTTTTTTTTTTTTACTTATCCAAAGAAGACCCTAGGACTTTCGAGAGCGGGTTATTATATGTGCTATTGGGGATACCTTTAGGATAAATCCACTGGGGGAGCGCGCAGACTTAGCATGTGAACTAGAGGAACAGTGGCTACAATGGCGGGCGTGTATGAAACTCTTAAAATGCTCTTTGAAGGCTTTGCTACGGGAGAGATCCGTGGCTCTCAGCTTTGCATTTTGTCTTTTCTCCGTAAAGACCGTCCATAGAGTAAAACTTGTATTTGTTTAACGCGCAACCTAAGGCGGTAAATCCCAAAGGATGAGGGGTTTTTTTGCAGCAGGGCACGAAGATAGTTGCTCCCATGCCTACTCCACTGATGAAGACCCCAATCATTCTGAGTTAGCATTAGACTTGCAGACCCACCCACCCCCCGCGCCTGCCGCTGTCCTATCTAAGCCTTTTTGGATCCAGGGAGAGCTTTCGAACTCTTCCTGGAATACGAAGCGGACAGAATTTAAAGTGAAGGGAATATTTTGAATGTAAGCAGCAGGAACTTCCCACTGGCTCGCCAGAAGCAGCTCGTTATCTAGTGAGATAATATCAGTCCCGACTACAAACTCTATAAGCTTCCTCCGAAAAACCAGGCCCTTGGAAACAAGCAATTAGGATTCAGGCGCGAGATGCCCAGAGTTCTTCCTCAGCCCCGAAGAACTCCATTACCCCCAGCGGGTCTCTGTCTAATCAGTACCCCGTTGTTTGGCTGGACTTCTCCCGGATTATCTCCAATTACAAACACTGCGGAGGTGTTGCTGATGTCCTGAAGCCTGTATTTAATTTTAAACTAAGCGTTAGAAGAAACTAGTCATTTATTCCTCTCAACTCCCCCCTCCCCCCCCTTAGCGTGAGGATAAAATCAGGGTCTTGTGGCAATAGCAATAGTACTATTGGTATTGTTTTGTAGTCCACCTTTCCGCTGAAAAAGGCACTCAAGGAAGCTTTGTTATTCACCAATGCCAAGAGACTGCCTGGTGTTTCCCTTCTACTGTAAATAGGCAAACCATCTCGGGGTTGGCAGAGGGGTAAAGCTCCAAACTGAGCTTGAAAGAAGGGAAGGAAAGACCTCTTTCTAGGTGACCTGGATGCTGATGTCCAGCATGACTCCTGAAATTTGTCACAATCTACTCAGATTATTCAAAAATAACTGAAGTAGGGGTTAGCATTCCCAGCTAAGAGTGAGCAATGGGGGCTGGCAAGCACCTTCATTTTGTCTGGAGAAAAAGGTAGAAAGAGTGCTGAGCCAGCTGTCCTCAGGAAAATAGGCCTTTGGGAAGTGGGGGGGGGCAAGACAGTTCTTTTGAAGTTTTGCCTTGAAGGAAACAAAACTAGGGCAGCTGAAAGGTTGACAACCTGGCATTCCAATGCCCTACAAGTGAGTTGGATTAGAACTCCCAAAATTCCCAGTCATCTGTTCCCAGACTCATGGGAGTAATAGTTGCATACATTTAAATGAAAGTGTGGTTGATTGGGGAGCAGATCAGGAGACAAAAAAGATGTCCCAAGATATACGAAATTACAGTGGAGAATGCTCCCAAAAGGTGTCACATTGTACATCTACCTTGCTTTCCTGTCCCGAAGTTCTCCAATCTCCAGGAGTGATTCACCAACTAGATATCTCACTAGGGTGTAAGGTCACGGTGGCCAGAACCAATGTGGGAGGGGGCACCAAACCCGGAAGCTGAAAAGCATCAATGAAATGCTAGTGAGACTAAATCGGGCTGAAGTACAGCAGGATTCATTAACCAGCTTGCTCCAAGCAAGTTATAAACTTTCTCCTGCTACTGCCAGGACTGAGTGCCTTTTCTTCATCCATTTATGTGTTCATTAATTAAATACATTTATATAGCCGCCCAACTCACACACAGTGACTCTGGGTTGCATAGAACATTAAAAATCCACAATTTAACTCTAATCCACCCCACCCCAATTCATGACAATGACAACAAAATCAGACAAGCCACAATCCTGAGGAGGAAGCCAAAGGTGAGGTAGTTTATCTGGATTGATTAATCCAGAAGAAAAGGATGCAATCATTTGTCCATCCGTCCCCTTTGATAGACAGTTGATGATGGCATGGATTTTGAATGAGAGTGTATTGCTAGCTCTCTTGCCCTGCTACTGGCACACTGGAAGCTGCCAGGGAGAGCTAGAGAGCCAGTTTGGTGCAGCGGTTAAGGCACCGACTGGAGACCAGGAGACTGTGAGTTCTAGTCTCACTTTAGACATGAAAGTCAGCTGGGTGACTTTGGGCCAGTCATTCTCTCTTAGCCCAACTGCTGTTTGTGGGGGGAAATAGGAGAAAGGAGTATTAGCTATATTTTGTTATCTTGAGTTCTCAAAATAACAAAGGAGAGAAATAATAAAAATAAATAAAAATAAATCCCTTGGGATAAATGTGCCCAGACTGTCCTGCCTGCAGTTCCTACCAAATGGCTCTGGAACAGGAGTATCTGGGCCTGTGGCCACTTGTCCCACTAAAGGAAGGACAAATTCTGGGAAAATAGATAGGGAGCTCCCTTTCAAATTCAACAGCAGTTTTAACAGCAGGTAATGGGGATTGACTCAGTTAACCAGGGAGAATTTCAGACGTGATTTCCCTCTTCCCTTAAAAGGGCTTTTTAAAACATGTTTTAAAGCAACTTACTATGTGTGTATTAGTGAACCCAACACAATCTATTGTTTCATATCTTGGTTAGTTATCAAGCAGATCAGGCCTCTGTTGGATCCTGGGCTCAAAAAAGCTGTGTAGTGAGTTTCTTCTTTTCTGGATGTCCAAGGGTGGAGACCTTGTTGGAAACTCGGAGCTTCATATTATGTGTGGCCTCTATTTCATTTAATGGTTAGGAAAAGTAGCCTTATGTGGGAAGTTCTGGGAGTCCTTACTTTTTGCGAGGTCATCCTGTTTAATTAGACCCAGGGTAGAAATACAGCTTACTCCTAGTAAAGCAAAACTCTTGTATCTGGATTTGGCTGCCGAGTGCTTATAAAGGGAAAAACTATTCTAATACAAAGTGTTACCTGAAACAAATTCTACAATTTTGAAGCTTTGCAGTGCTGTAAGTTCACAATGTCAAGCCTATAGCCCTTTGGAATTTATGTAAAGATCTGCATCCAGGAGGGTTTCCAGATATAGTCTAGTGGCCACATAAGTTAATCAGTTGCTTCTGATTTTTAAATTCTGGAGGTCCACCATTTCCATGGTTCTTCCATTCTCTCCCAGAGCGGCTCTCCACAACTTTAAACAGTATTTTTTCTCCTCCCCAAAGAAAGTTAGTTTCATTGGGTTTCTATTTTCTACACTCATTTTAAGGACCCCTGTCTCATTAATCTCTCATTAGTTTTGGAATCTCTGGAGTAACCTCCCCTTGTTGCATTGGATTACCATTTCTATTATTCTCAGCCCAACTCATCTGAAAAGCAGTTGTGGAGAAACAGCTAGACTGGTTTATATGCCTCAGAGCAGAAATCAAATGTGTAGAGAGTCTATTCTTCACCCCTCTCTCCAGTCGGAGAATTTTAGTCTTTTGTGCTTCTGTCCTCAGCGTGGTCTCTGGTCTTAATTTCTGCGAGCATGTTGATTTCTAGGGCAATCCAGAATCTCAAGCTTTTAGGATTCTAAGCATGTCCTTAGCTAAGCCACTGTCTCTTATTGGCCGTCCTCATTGACCCCTGGAGGGCTTTTTATCCCGGGTCCGCAGTCTGTTGAATTCTCTTCCGCTAAGCTACACCTGGGGAAGTTTCTGCAGAGGTTGGAGAAAACCTCCGTCCATCAAAAAACCTTGCCCTGATTTTGGCACAGTTTGGAGAGACCCGGGCACCCACTCTCGGCATCTCACGTAGTTCTTGCGCGGCAGAGGGGTGGAGTAGTTTTGAGTTGCGATGCCTGCAGCGAGAAAGGCAAAATAGCATCCCTGGTCCATGAAGGCAGGAATTGTAAAACCAGAGCGATACCTTTTAAATCTAGCTTGCCTAAAAGACCTCTTCAGTCACTGGGACACCGATCACAGTGTATTTCCAGTCTCTAGAGCTCCAGCCAGCAGTCACCGGGGCAATATATCGCGATAGAGACGCCCTATTTATATCGTCAATGCAAGAGGCAACGGTGCTGGGCCATTTAGTTTTAAGGGCGAGATGGTGCTCCAGCAGTGGAGGTTCGGCTACTTTGCACGTGCTCAGAGACACTCTCGGAATAAATTAAGTGGATTAGTGAAAGAAGGCCTCGAGCTTTCCCCAATGTAGAGCCGTCTCTGCCAGTTTTGGACAAGTGGGGGGTGGAGAACTGTAGTCCCACTTTCACTCGCAGGCTGAATTACCAGCTCAGGCAGATGTTAAGCCCCGCGATCCTTCAGTGGTTTGAGAGCACGCCCTGTTTTGGGCTGGGGGGGGAGGGAAGGACCGGCTCTTGCCCTCCCCATCTCGCCAATCCGCCCAGTCACCTTCCCTTCCTTTCTGCTTTGTTTCCCTGCCCTTTGTCCTCCCCAGGATCTACACGGGCTGCGACATGGACCGCTTGACCCCGTCGCCCAATGACTCTCCCCGCTCTCAGATCGTGCCGGGGGCTCGTTACGCGATGGCGGCGGCCGCGGCGGGCTCCTTCCTGCAGGACCAGTTCGTCAGCAACTACGCCAAATCCCGCGGCTTCCACCACCACCACCACCCGGGAGCGGGCGCCGGAGGCGGCGTGGGACCCGGAGGGCCTGTGCCGGATCGAGGCGTGCCTCACCCTAACGGGCTGCTGTCTCCACAGCAAGCCGAAGAGCCCGCCGCGCCTTCGCCCCAGCGCTGGTTCGTCACGCCCGCCAACAATAGGCTGGACTTCGCGGCCGCCTCGGCCTACGACCCCGCCGGAGATTTGGCGGGAAACGCCGCCACGCTATTATCTTACGCCGCCGCCGGCGTCAAGGCTCTCCCGTTGCAGGCGGCCGGCTGCACCGCTCGCCCGCTCGGCTACTACCCGGACCCCTCGGGCTGGGGGGCGCGCAGCCCGCCCCAGTATTGCGCCAAATCCTTGTCGTGTTGGCCTAACAGCAGCGGTGCCCGCGCTGGAGGAAACCCCTATTTGCCCGCCGGGGCTGGCGGCGGGGAGGAACCCGACAGCCTGGCGCCCCCTGAGCGCTCCCCTTTGGTGGCGCCGCCGCCGCCGCCCGCTGCCGGGCCGCCCGCCGAGGACTCCAAGCCCCCGAAGGACTTGTCCGACTCCAGCTGGATCGAGACCCCCTCGTCCATCAAGTCCATCGATTCCACCGACTCTGGGATTTACGAGCAGGCCAAGCGCCGGCGGCTTTCTCCCGTGGGCACCCCGGCCTCCGAGAGCTCTTCGCCCCTCAAGAGCGAGCCCGCCTTGGCCCCCAGGGACTGCGACAAGACCTGCGCCAAGGACATCGGCTACTACGGCTTCTACTCGCACAGCTAGAGAGGAGACGCCTCTGGCCACGCCCCCTCCCGCCCGCCAGTCCCGTCCCGTCCGAAGCAGCCGGCGCTTTGCGCTGCGCGCCGGGTCGAGCGCTGGTTCTCCCGGTCATTTGAAAGCGGCTCTGGCTGGCCACGCACCTACAACCGCGCACGCGCAGTCTCTCTCTCTCTTTCTCTCTCTCTCTCTCCCCCCCCCGCCCCCCCTTTCCTCGCACACGCAGAAAGCCCGCAAACCGTGGGGCCGTCCCAACGTCTCTTCAGTAGGAGGTGGATGACAACGAAATGCTGAAAATCATGACACTTCATTCTCCACCTTGTATGTCTCTTTCCTTAGCGACCCCCCCCCACCCTTCCCCGCACAGAACAAACCGTGTCGTGGTTTTTCCCTTGGCCCAAGCATTTTTTATTTTTTTTTAAAAAAAAACCAGATCTCAATCTCGGGTGTTTCGAATAGGTAGATTATTCCAAAATCCTAAGAAAACCCTTTAATTATCCCTGTGCCCATCCCACGTTCGGTGTGGTAAAGGGGGGGGGGGTCCCTTCCTAAACGTTAGCTGGCGGGCGACACGGCCATTCAAACCTTTTTAAAGCTACCCTAAACTTAACTCGATAGCGCACGAGAGCGAATGACCTTCCATCTAGCGAGCAGCAGCTCAGTCACATGCACGCATTTGTTTGAAATTAGCCCCACGACGTTTAATAGCTTTTACAGGGAAGGGCTCGCAGCTCTCCTTAGGATCCTGCACATTCTTTGATCAGGAAGGTGGATAGGAGATGCTTTTTATTCTGCCGTATTAAAACGGTGGGCAAGATGAAAGGGTATTGTGCGGGCCTTTAAAGGGTTTCTTAGTAAATTTGGGGTTCTCCTAGATCCCTCTCCTCCACATCTCCGGTTCCCTGTTCATTTACATTAGAAAAACAACCGTTCCCCTGCTTGGACTTAATGGGTCGTAATTCCGAGTAAACTTGGTTTAAGGTTCAACAGGCAAACTAACCGTTTTTCTGTCCTTGCACCTTATGCTTAAAACTCGAAGGGATATTCCTCCTTTCCCTTTTCCCTTCCTTATTCCGGGATAATCACAGTGGAAATGTATATGTACAGTTCTCAAATAACGAGTAAGGAGTCCTACAGTAGGATTTGGCTGCTCTAAGCAAAGCCTAAAATATCTAAAAACCCCTTTCCCTTTTTTCTCATTTATCTTCACCCACACACTTGCATAATAATATTAGGACAAAGTCGGGTGTGTGGTTAGGAAGTGTGTCAGTATTTTTATAGCATTGTCCAAAGTGACTTAAACTTGAATAAACAAAATTAAACTTATAATCATTTCAACAAAGCTAAGCCTGATAAAATTGTCCGAATGGATCCAAATATCTAACAGTTAACATCTAAATAATCACACCTCTGTAGGACTTAATTTTACTTAAATGCATGCCAGACCTTACTGTGCTTCTCACCGAAATAATTTCTGATTTAATCAACACTAAATTTCAAGCGTGGATTCCGTAGGATAGGATTTATGTTGATTTTAGAAGGCGATATTTGGCTTTCTGGTGTTGGAATAGAAATTTAACAAGCTTCGTGTTAGTTGCCTTGCATTTTAAGTGAAGTTTCCTTTCAAGTAAAAAGCGCCTTTTTGCTTCCGTGTCTTGATTGGGAATATGTGCGAAACTTGACCTTATCTAAAGTATTTTGAGGAAGAAATGCAGTAGTTTTTGTTCACACATTGCACTAAAGCTATAATAGTATATGCTTGGTGTAATGGTGTATGCTTCTCCTAGACATCCAGCCAATTGTGGTTTATCTGGCCAACCATGATTAAAATAAACACACGTAGAGCAGGTGCTTCAGTTGGGGTGTGAGTGAATCAAGTTTAAAACGCAGCCTTAAAGATGTTTACTCGGATTAGGATCAAGAGGAATCCATAGGAGCGTGCCGAATTCCCACTATGGGCTTTAAACTCCATATAATTCTATAGGCACTTATTCAGCAGCATATTCCATTAAATTTATTCCATATAATAATATCTCGAAAACAGCTGGAAAGGAGGTCTTATGCCGTTTCCTTACTGTTGTTCGACAGTATCACCGCACCATCAGCTGTGGTGATGCGAAGCCCATCTTCCTACCCTCCTGATACATGACAACAGCGATGGTACGATGACACTAGAAATCGCCAGTCAGGAAACGTCCCGAGCTGCTTCTTCCCAGCTGGTTCCACTCGCGTTTCCTTGGAAGGAAGTCTCCTCCGAGTTTGTGCGATCTTAGCGTCGTTGTCCTTCGCAAAGCGCTGTGTAATGGCGGAAATTACTCCTACTTCTCTCAGTAGGATTTCGCTTCCCACAAGGAGAATAATGCTTCAATTCCCTTTTCTGGATGCAACATCTCTTGCCTGATCAGAACTTATTCTCAATAAAAGTAAAGCTTTCGTTTAATAGCTCGGCGTCTATAAATAGATGAGACCCCGCTGGCTTCAGCAGGACACTAATGGACTTTTCCCTTAATTTACTCATATTAACAAGTGTAGTCGTAGGAGTACTCGGAATAAGCAGGTGGTCTCTCCAGGTACCTGTGACTGGGAGCAAACTTTACTGAAATGGGTAGGGACACCAACTTAAAGAGATGGGGAGATATGAATTCTAAATAAAGCACTTTTAAAAGTTCAAAAACAAAAGTTAAGATGAAACCTGGGCTAAAAACTCTGCCTTGGTTCGCATAACACACTGCATTAACCTGTCATTTGATTTCAGTGACAATTTACCTATAAGGTATTGCACATTTCATTCAATACACTGAGCTACAAGTAAGTCTGACTTGCTGGCTTGGCATGTTGTATGAACCTACCAGCACAGCCCTAGCAGGCTACGTTAGATTGGCATCGTACTAAGGAACTATTCCAACTCTGATGAAAAAAAAGGCACTTCCTTCCAAGTAAACCTACCTGTGATTTCACTGCTAGTTGACTTAAACTAAAACTGATATACAGTAATTTAGTTTACAGGGCTAGAGAGTTAGGACTCAAATTCCAGTAGGAATCACTCCAGTTGGGATGGGCTCTTGCAGAGTAACTCAGGTGAATCTTACGCTGGGTCATGGAGGCGCTATTTCAATTAGATTGTAGGTTGTGCTCAATCAGGTGTGCAAGTGGGTGTATGGGAAGGGGATTTGCCCACAGGGCCATTGACTCTTTTATCAACTAAGCATCACAGTTTAACACTCTATTAGAGACAGGTGGCCAGAGAGAGTGGAACAGCTCCTTGAAAGCCCAGTTCAGTTCCAAGAAGCATTTCACATTACCCATCTAATGATCATATTCTCCTTATGCCCTTTTCTGTCCCCTCACTGATTCCTAAGCCCATCCCTGGTTGGCGTGCAGGTGCTCTTGTTCCAATATTTTTCTCTCCTCCCCCTCCCCCACTTCAGTTATGACGACTGTAAATCTTTGTAATGAACAAACTACAACCAATGCTAAGCTATTGACCTGTTGGTGCCCGTAGTGTAGTCCAGTGAAAATGACTTTTGTGAGTTGTATATTTTAAAAAAAGAAAAAAAATGCATTTAGTTTGAATTTTTGTTTTGTTTCGTTTTGTTCTATGCATAAGGAAGTATCTCTGAAAGAGTTTTTTTTGGGAATAGGCAGCACCAGTTTGAAGAAATTTAATTTCCCACCTCCCTCTCTGACCTCTTCTTTTTCTTTTTAATTTTCTCGTTCAGTCAAGAGTTTTACACTCAATTTAGTCTTTCCCCTTGTTGATGTAGAGTAGTGAGTCTTCAAAATTTTGTGTAGGAAATATATAATTGATCAACCCATGTTTAAATATTGTGGGTGGGTGGGGGCGAGAAATGAACTGTGAAATAGACAGCAGGCAAAATGATCAAGGCTAACTTGCAATCGGCAAAGAAACCTTCCCAAATAGAAATTCAGGACTTTCATCCTGTATATATATATATTTATGTCCTTCTGTAATTGATGGACATTTTTCTTTCTCCTTTTTTTTTTTTAAAAAAAAGAAACCTCCCTTACACATTTGTTTTGTTTGTGTAGATAAATAATTGTTTCTTCAAATTACAAGTAACCGGGAAAAATGTTTTGTTTTTTCACCCATTTATATTGTCTGTGTACAAAAAGCATAATAAAACTTGGAAAAAATAGACAGTCTTTATGTGTAGCTCCTTTTGGAAGATCTGAGTAAACTAAGAATAGTACAAGTGCTGGGAGTAGATGGAAATTTTTAACAAACGGAGCAGGAACAATTTATTTCCTCTAATACCAGCTACTTGATCTTCAACACAAAAAATAACGTATTTCTGTTTTTCTCACCTTTACGCTGCAGCTTGGACAAGTACAATCATATCCTGTCCCGCTATGCAATGAGCTAAAAAAAAAAAGGGTGCATCCAGATGTAAGTTACTTTGGGGGAAATTTATGGTTGCAATGCAGCTAAAAAAAAAATTGACAGTGGGGAAAAATGTAAACATTTGCAGTTTAGAATCACTAAAACTGAGGTAAAATATAATGTGCTGGTTAAGAATTCTATAAAAAACGGAAGTAGTTAACAGTAGATCCTATGAAATAATTTTTTCCCTTTCTGTCTTACTGCATGTGAACTGTTGAAGAAATCTCCAATTTCCCAGGATTAGGACATCTGAGATTGCCTGTAGTATCTGACTTCTTCTAAAAAAACTAAAGGAATTGAGGAATTAAATTTGAGGCTGGGATCTATTCGTTTGTGTGTTATGTGTGCACTCGGCCACACTATTGAGTGATTCTGCAACCTGCCACTAGAGGTCTCTTGATGGATTGTTATTCTCCTTGTCATGAACTGCATTATATTATTCCACTTTCTTTGCCTTCTGCCATGAAGGGGAAATTTATCTTTAAACTGTGAAACTAAAGGTTTTTTTTTTCTTTTTTTAAATGTGTGATAATATTTGTCAATGACCAATTATTCTAAAAAAAAAAAGTTAAATGATTTCAGAAAAGCCTTTTACATACTCTGTAAAAGGACAGCCGGTTAGAAAACAGGAGTTTAACAGAGAACTCTCAAGAGCTTTTAGGTATAACATTAATCTTTGTTATACGGTAGTAATAGTTTTTAGTTTAATTTCCTATTATTTCTGCCTAATTTTGAAAACTGTATCTTGTTCAGCCATCGCATGAGGTACTAGAGAATTATGATTTGTAATTCTCATGTACAAACTTGCTCTTAAAACTATCAGTTTTAATGAGAATGTATTGCCAAATTGCATAACATCCATCTCATCTAATGAAGCTTTTAAATGGAGTATATTCTGGAAAAGAAAGTTCCTTTTTAGTGAATTCCTCTGCTATTCCTCTGCTGTCTCTGCAATATCTGGAGACAGACATTGACCTCCAGATTCAGCCCGACTCACTGGTTTTCTTCAACTGTGCAGATCATAAGCCAGAAGCAATAGAAATCAATTGTATACAACATTTGATTATTGACAGTAACCTTAGTGGATGTATAAAATTGTGTCATCCACGTATCACTATAGTGATAAAAACCCTGCCTTTATCCAAATATGTCTCTACAACAATAACTAAATTATGCTGTAAAATTCTGGAATTCTTGACTTGGAAAATGGTTTATAGAAAGGCTTCAATAGCATGCTAAACCATATTGTGATTGGTTTTTCTGAAGCTTTAGCATCATGGAGGAACCTAGACAGATAACATTTGGAACTTGAAAGAGAAAACTTTTCAGGTTTTTATATTAATAAAGAGAAATTAACAACTGCAACTATTAGTACCGGTAGGACAAATATTCCCACTTGTGTTAGATGTGCTTTGTTACAAGAGGTTGACTTATTGTAGCAAATGTTTTAAGGAACTATATGGACCTAACAAAAAGCATAGTCAAAAGAAGGCAGATCATAGTACATGTTCCAGATCCCCTTAGGAATGTTTGATTTCTCTGAATTTATTTTTGTATTATTATTTTGCTCAGACTAAATGTGGATCTTTATGTATGAGTAATTAAGTATAACATTGAATGTTAATCTTTTTAAATGAGTAAATATGTGTTTTAATGACTAGTCAGTGAGTATTGTCATAAGTCAGGACAATTGCTTGTCTTGGCTTCCCTCCTCTTTCCTTTGTTCAAATCCCAATGTGAAATACACACCATTTAATTACTCCTTTTTTTTTTATGTTTTGGACAAAGAGTAGTATTTCAAGAAATTTCAAGGCAATATATTGGAATGACCTTTCTCTAAAAGTTGGAATAGCAGTAGCTATTCTGAAATGCTTTGCAATATCCAAATTTTATTCAGGGAATGAATTTAATTTTTTGCATTTGGAAAACAGAATTCAGACATTTTGTGAGAGACCTGTCTTTGTTGCAAGGATTAGGAAATAAGAATGATGGATTAGGATCTCTCTTTCATCAAGTCCCATGTTCTGGCTCCCCAATATATTTAAGATTCTCTCATTTGTACTCTCCAGATATGTTGGATCTACAATTCCCATCCTTGCCAGTCTATATAACTCATGTTGATTGGAGATAATGGGAGTCATTGTCCCAACAGCACATTTCGAGGGCAGCATGAGAGAAGGCAGGTTTATAATCTCAGACAATAACTGTGGAGTTCTTCAAACAAAGATATTAATTAGATCTAGTCAATGGTCCATTGGAGACAGGCTTCTTTTACTTAATATCTTGTGAAATAGAAATCTTAACCGAAAAGAGAATATGGGAAAAGTGCATAGAGAAAAAACATGGTTGAGTCTCAGCTATTCACCTAGGAAAATGTATATCTCTCTTTGCTATTTCAAAGTTTCACTGTGTCTTTAACTGCTGAGATACACACATACTTATACTGACAACAATCAACTGCTGGTTTCTTTCATATTTTTCCATAATCATAATCAATGTGCACTAATTCAATAGATGATTGTTCCTGATAACTCAAGCAGGTGGATGTAATATACTGGAGAGAGGGAGGGAGGGAAAGGGAGAGGGAGAGGGAGAGGGAGAGGGAGGGAGAGAGAATACAATGTTCCTTTATAAAATATAACACCCCCCCCCCAATGCTTTGGAATACACTGGGTTGAATTGTAATGGTTGGGTTCCCCAACTGAAATTTGATGGGTTCACACAATACACTAAGACATGAACCATGGTTTAGGAATAATAGCTGAGTTGCTACAAGATGCAAGACCCCAAACAGGCCAACCACATTTTGGCATAGAGCTATGTCAATCACTGGGGCAGAGTCACCCCCTATGTTTCCATGGATGAGTATAAGCTTGGACCTCAGCTCCTAGTCAGTGTCCAGGATAATAAACAATAAAATCATATTGATCCACCAGTTTTATAAAGAGTCTGGCTTTAACGGAAGTAGACAAACAGTGCAACCAGATACCTGTTTAGTTGGAAGCTCTTCTTCAATCATTCGGATTTACTCTCAAATGTGATTGCAGCCTAACAAACAATCCTATCAACTTTGTAGTTTGTATAATACACTGAACCATAATGGGTGGGGTTTTTAAAATCATTTGGTATGTGGTGTAAATATAGCATAATTGGCATGGCTTATGTCTTAGTGTGCAATGTGAATTCTGTCAAATATGATTTATTTTAAAAAAAAACATAGCTGTATGAACAAATAATTAGTTACGGTAATTATTTAATATTCTGTCCAGTTCTCAACACTCTGAGTTGGTTAAAATTCCTATAAATTTAGCATCCAACTTGGAGATGTTTACTTAAAACTAAATCCCAGTGATTCAAATAGGGCTTCCTCTCCTCCAAAAGTAAAATCTCATTACCACCTTAAAAATGTAAGGAAAAACATGTGGTACCTTAAAGACAAAAGAAATGTATTTTTTTTTTAAAAAAAAAGTTTTGTTATCTGATGTGGCATAACTATCATTCAGAAGTTTTATTAGTCTTACAAGATGTCACAATACTTTGTGGTGTATTTACTGAAGCAGACTAAACCTGCCGAAACCAACATAAAACTCTTTCTCTCTGTATTCTTTCCATTCTCTGAAAATCGTGTGCCAATAAGCTTTAAAAGCTTGTCCCGTCTTTTAAGGAAAGCTTCAGGAGAAAAAAAACAAAAAATCTACAATTTTATTTGCAACCTCATTGCTCCCTCCCAATGCAACGCAATCCAAATCTACTCAGAAGTAAACCTCGTTAAACTTATGGTCAAAGATTAAAACCTAAGAATCTGATCCTCTGGAGAGAGAGAGAGAGAGAAAATGTGGTCCGTTTCGTTATTCGAGGCGAACAGAACTAAAAATGAAGTCGAAGCTGCCTGCAATCCGCCGGCCCTTCGCAGAAAATCCGCAGCGGCTCAGCGGCAGCCTCCGAGTGGGTCGCTCCAGCCTTCGCTCTCGCGCACGTCAGAGGCCCACGCGCGCGCAGCCCCTGCGCTGTGCCGGAGGAGGGCCTGCATATTTTTGGAAACCTTTCCGAAGTTGCGCTCTTTCGCGTGGGCGATTTCGGGGAGGAAAGGAGAAGGACAGAAGGCTTGGATTTAACAGGCCCCTAGCGTGACCAGGGAAGGAGGCGGTGTCTGCTACGCCTAAAGGAAGAGGCAGGTGTGTCTGCGTGGGCAGAGTGTTTTCAAGGGTCAAGTATTTTGGCGGGTATTCCCACCCCCTTCCCCACGAGCAGCGTGGCAATTTTTTTTTTTTTTTACTTTTTCCACCCAACGTTGTTTGATCTGTTCTTCTCCAGGCCGGCCACTCTTTTATTAAAAGTTCTCACCAAATTCTCTACCCAACAGGATACTAACTCTGATTGGATTCACACAACACAGCAAGCCAAACCTAAGCCAAACCAGGTTACATCTTAGGGGGCGAAGTGAGAATTCGGTTTACCGAGCCAGGGACAAGCAGGGTTTTGAAGCTCGCTCGGCTCTTGTTCCCTTTTTGCCCACCACTTAGTGACAAAACGTCTCCCAAAAGTTTTGCCATCAAAGAGACTGTCGAAATAAGTGGGAGATCCTTAATGTGCGGCATGGTTATAAACATTCACAGGAGGAACTACCAACCACGGATCAGTAACCCTCACCCATTCCCTTGGAATGAAAGTGCGAGACTGGCAAAATAAACGGACATCATCGATTGGTGTGTGAACTTACTGGCGGGCAAAAAAAGGAACAAGAGCCCAAATCTC